GCTGGCCGTGCCAATCGAACTCCATGAGCTTTTGGAGGAGAGCGGGGGAATGTCCTGGGAGAGGGTATTCAATGCCTGAGGAGGTCACAAAAGTAAATGGTCCCTGGAATTTCCAACCGATCCTTTTAAGCGAAAGCACCGCGGCGCTGAGAGGGCCCCTGGAGGAACCCCAAGATTTTGAAACTCTCGGGAGGTTGGCCTCAGCCCAACCACACAGCTGCTGGAGACTGGCCACGGCAAGGTGGGGGCGGGTCGCGGCGTCCCAGACAAGGCGGTGCCACATAATGGCAGGGCCCAAAGCAGCTTTCCACAAGGGGTCCTTGAGGATGAGCAGGGCCAGACTGCGGCTGCGCGTCGGGCAACGGGGTCCCGCAGCAGCCAAAAACTGCGACCTGGCAGATTCCAACTGCGTGCCATTGATGCCAGTCACCTCGACTCCGAAAGTGGTGGCCGCCTCGAGGCCAGTCTTATGCAACTTATGAGTGTTACCCCCAGCTCTCTTGAGCATGCGAACCCTGTTAAGTCTTTTACGCATCTTATCAAGACGCTCCGAAATCTTACGATGCTTTCTCCAACGGCGTTGGGGCCGTCCAGCCCCTGTTTCACATCCCAGGTTAGGTCCAGACCTATCCGCGTTCGGGCCTGCCAGAGGCCCGAGAGCAGTCCTGAGTTGATCCTGAAGGGCTTGTTGGAACGCCAGGACCTGACTTTCCTTGCTGGCGATCTGGCACTTAAACTCATTGATGATGCAGTCTGCCATGGACCTGGCAGCAATATTAAGCTGGCTGACGATGAGGCTGTAACTGCGGCCGTGGCACTGGAGCAGCAGATCATCTATAAACATCGCGAGCCTGATATGACAATGCGCCTGCGTCCACACGTCGAGCGGGGCAGGCACATACATTTGCACAAGATAGGTGGCCCAACTGCATCCTGCGGCAATGCCCCTCCAAGGCTTGCCTACACTGACTGCACAATCTTGTAGTGCAACTATGCGTTCGCTGGCATATTGAGATAATATGATACGCAATAAACAACACGGGGAACCTGATTCAACAGCACGGTGCGCGAGACATGGCCGATCAACATGTTCGTAGTAGTTAGATAAATCGTAGAGAACTTGGGCACTATATTGTTGATCTTTGTCAGAGCTATTGAACTCGGATTTCCAAGGATTGTTTGTATACTAATTCCACTATGGAGTGGCCAGCCTGATGAGCAAGGTACGGCCTGCGGTGGTGTGCCTCCCACTCTCTGGCCGCTGACCTCCTGAGCCTAGCCCAGACTCTGTACAAAGCTGGGAGCATGCCAATGGACCTGAAAGAAGGCTGACTGGCTGGGGCATCATGTTGTTTCAACTTCATCATAAGAGTCGATACGATACCTTGGAGCTGGGTTGGCATATGTCCAATCTTTTCAAGCAGGCCGATAAAATCGCAGACAATCTCTGCCTGCTCATTATTCAACATACTGAAATGCCCGGGGTGGAAACCGTCCCAGGTAGAGGCTGTGGCATGGGGAAAACTTTTCGCAACTTGTCGTAATCTCTTGGGGCTGATGGGGCCCAGGGCAATACGATCATCTCTGTCAGGAACGAGCTGTAGTGGGGTATCCTGGGAAGCCTGCCATATTTTTGCCAGACGATCAGCTTCTACCTGCAATATATGCTGGGGCCTGCCAGAATACTGCGACTTGTATGGAACTGACGAGGGCCTCCAGGCCTCCAAACGCTTAGACCATCTGTGAGCCCATCCCATTCCTCCCTTCATGTTGTCCTGAACCCAATCCCTCCATGCCTTCCCGTCGGCAGCGTTCTCGGCCGCCTGCTCCTGATACAGGAGCTTGGTGACGTGCTCTAGCAGCTCGTCCAGAACCTGGAGCGCCAGCGCCTGGTTCAGGGCACCGGCGCTGAAATCTACGTGCAACAAACCTGCGGCAACTCTAATCTCCTGCAGCCCCTCCTTGAGGGGCACGACGGTGGTGAACAGCTCAGGGCAATCCTCTAAGCTGTCGGGAGCGTCCTGAAACTCAGTGAGATTCCAGTCCTGAACACATCTATGGAAATCTTGAATCCTATTGATAAGCCATCTCAAAGGGCCCGTGTAGGCCACCCATTTAGCCCTACTCCTAGCAGCCTTGGCCTCAGCGGGGACCATGAGAACCTGAGGGGGGTGGGCCCTGGGGTACTTGCTAGGCTTGAGGGGGGTGCTAGTTTTCTTACTGATTGTAGCTTCCAAGTCCTGGGCCAAGTTGAAATACACGTGGTCCAAGAGCACCGACTGCTGTTGATCACTGAGCGGCCGTCGAGCATCATCGATCAATTGTGAAGCGTACTCCAATGCAGCAGCTGACTGGTGCCAACTCACTTCTGGCAATTGCGGGCCCACAGGGATACGTGTGGGTAGCTTCTGGGGCTTATGCAGCGTGGGGATATTAAAGTTATTCTCAACTACAATATCTAGCAGCACAGGTCTGTGAGGGGAGAGAGGATACGAGGACAGAGTACGGGGGTTTCTGAGCCACGGCGAGAGGCCTTGGCTAGACAGGAAATAATCTAGAGTAGATTTGGTCTTCTTAGTTCTGTAGGTGGCGGTCGGCGGCACAAGCGCGGTCATCGTGGACCTGGACAGGAACTCTGCTTGGGCCAACCGGGAGGGGGCCAGGTTAAAATCCCCCGCAACCAAAACTGGATGGGTCAAATCATCCTGAAGTTGGCCTATGGCGGCCAGAAGTTTTACATAGGTCTCGGAGAGACCAGCAGCAGCCTGAAAATAGGCACTACATATGGCGAACTTCGGGACCCCAGGAAGTTCGAGAAACGCCCCCGATAATCGAGCGGGGTCGAAAGCGGCGGAAAAAGTGATCGGCTGGACCCCCAAGTCCAAGCCATCCCGAATCAAAATCGCAACTCCCGAAACCAACTCATTATTCTCATTCCTGGCTGCAGGCGTGATGTAAGCCAGCCACCCCTGGGCCGAGCACCATTGTATCTGACGCACAATGCTATCTCCGTCGGCAAGCTTACACTCCTGAGCACAGATAATCTTGACTGCGCTGGACTGCGGCGAAAGAACAAACTTACGAACTGCAGGCCAGCACGAACCATTGATGGTAGCGATCTTATAAATGTTACCCTGGCGACTTCGGGCCCTGGGCGGCCGCGAGCGCAGCAGACTCGGCCGCCGCCTTGACCTTCTTGGTCTCGGGGCCTGACTCACTCTGGATCTTGGCCATGCCCTGGGCGACGTCGGACAGCGCAGCAGCCGCGCGGCGGCGACCTTCAGACGTGTCCATGGCCTGCGCCCCTGCCATGGTCTCCAGCTCCTTGTCGTCGGCAGGAGTGGGGGCGTGCTGGCCTGGGATAGGCGCGGGCGCCTGACTTGCCTGGCCATCATCAGGGCTCTCTCCAACTGCAGGGGAACCGTCGGTGAAGACCCCACGCGGAGCTGCCACCGCAGGCGGGCCGACACCAGCGGACGCAACCGAGGCCTGGGAGGCGACGTGCTGCTGCTGCAAGCTGTCGAACATGGCGGCCAGCTCCGATACCTTGTCACGTAGTTCTGGTGGGGCCAGTCCGCCCTGTGGCATTCTGGCGGATATAACTCCTTGGATGGTGGTGAGCAAATCTTCGTCTTTAGATGCCTCATACGCAGCCGCCTGGGTGGCCGCATTGAGCTGCGTCTCCAGCATCTGCACTTCTTTTGTATTAGCTTCAATCTCCTCGACCAGCTTGCCGTGATACTCACTTGCCTCGACAATTGTGGTAACCAGTTCGCTGGCCTCCTGCCTCTGCGACTGCAACCTCTGGCGCAGCACCTGGAGCTGATCAGACAGGGACTGCGCTTGCTGCTCCAGGCTCTTGGCCGACAGAGCCTGCGCCTTGGCGAACTTGAGCTTGCCCAGCGCCGACTTGTGCTCCTCTCCATCTGGCTTCCACTTCTTCCAGAAGGTGACTTGAGCTTGAGCCAGGGCAACTGGGTCATCAGGGGGAACTGCATCTTCGAAGGTGACCGATCGGCCGCCTCCGCGCCCCAGGCCTGGTGGGCGCTCAGGACCGCGGGAGCCCTTCCTCCAGCGTCCTGGCTTGGGCGGCACCTCCACGACGTCAGGCCGAACATCCTGGGGGCCTCCTCCACCACCTTGGGGTCGGGCTGGGGGACCATGATCCCCGCACTGCTTGAAACGTCTACCACACTGCATACAATGACGAGTATTAGTCGAGCACCAAGCCCAGCCTTTGCAGCCACGCTTCGAGCAGACCAAGTACTTCTTCTGCTGGACGGGCATCTCCTGATGGCGGCACGCTGGCGCACGCACACGAGAGGCCCTATGGCAGCACTGAGGCGGGACGTGACTGTGCCTCTGCCTGGGGCTGACCAGGCAGGCACGGGGGCTGAGCAACAGGCTTGAGCCCCAGCACCCAGGGCCTGCCCTGGATGGCAATTCTGAGACCTGCACCTCCCGCGGTGTGCTCAGGTCTTGAGCCAGGAGGAGGAGGAGGAGGAGGAGGAGGAGGAGGAGGAGGGGGAGGTGATGAGGAGGAGGAGGAGGAGGAAAGAGGACGGGAGGGAGAGGGGGAGGGGGAGGGGGAGGGGGAGGGGGAGGAAGGGGGAGGAAGGGGGAGGAGGGGAGGAGGGGGAGGAGGGGGGAGGGGGGAGGAGGAGGGGGAGGAGGAGGGGGAGGAGGAGGGGGGAGCAGGAGGGGGAGGGGGCGGGGAGAGGAAGGGAGGAGGAGGGGGAGGAGGGGGGAGGGGGAGGATGAGGGTGAGGGAAGGAGGAGGAGGAGGAGGAGGAGGAGGAGGAGGTGGAGGAGGAGGAGGAGGAGGAGGAGGAGGACGACGACGAACCCTCCCCTTCGCATCCTCCCTTCTCAGGTGGTGAAGGAGGAGGAGGACGAGGAGGAGGAGGAGGAAAAGGAGGAGAAGGAGGAGGGGCAGCAGAAGCAAGATGAGGAGCAGGATGAGTTGGAGTAGCCCTGCCTTTCCCATCCTGCCTCTCCAGGTGGAGACATTCCAGCTGGCCGTGCGCATGAACTCCGCCGGCTCGCCGTTCGGTCAGGCCCTCGCTGAGCGGCTCCGCGACCCGGAGGCCGCCTTGCCCCCTGTGCGTGCCGCCTCTATCCCAGCCCTTCATGATGATGCTGCTGCTCCTGCTGCTGCTGCTGCTGATGGTGATCATGATGATGGTGGTGCTGCTGATGTTGCTGATGCTGATGCTGATGATGCTGATGCTGATGCGGATGTTTCTGCTGCTTCTGCTGCTGCTGCTGATGCTGATGATGGTGATGATGGCGGTGATGATGATGCTGATGATGATGTTAATGATGATGTGGATTATGATGATGATGATGGTGATGATGATGATGCTGATGATGATGATGATGATGATGATGATGATGAACATGATGATGAGGATGATGATGATGCTGATGCTATTGCTGATGCTGATGATGCTGATGATGCTGCTCCTGCTGATGATGTTTCTGCTGCTTCTGCTGATGATAATGATGATGGCGGTGATGCTGCTGCTGATGATGATGTTGCTGATGCTGATGCTGATGCTGCTGATGATGACGATGATGATGATGATGATGATGATGATGATGATGATGATGATGATGATGATGATGATGATGACGACACTGATGATGGTGGTGATGATGATGATGCTGATGATGCTGTTGCTGCTGCTGCTGATGATGATGATGATGATGATGCTGATGATGATGGTGACGATGATGGTGATGAGGATTGTGATCATGGTGGTGGTGATGATCATGACGATGATGCTGATGTGATGACGATGCTGCAGATGCTGCTGATGATGATGTTGCTGATGCTGGTGCTGATGCTGATGCTGATGATGATGCTGATGATGACGATGATGGTGATAATGATACTGATGAGCATGACGAGTCGGAGAAGAAATAGGAGGAGGAGGAGGACTAGGAGGAGGAGGAGGAGGAGGTGGATGAGGCTTCTCCTCCTGGTTTCTTTTTTTCTGGATCATTCCCCCCCCCTTTCCTCCTCTTCCCGACGCTTCGTCGCGCTTCTTGAACGTCTCACCCCACCAGAGCTCTCGACCTCCTTCCTGGGACCGGTTTTGCCTCAATGGTCGTTTTCCGAAGGCCTTGTGGTGCAGACCGGGCTTCCAGGGCCCAGAGTTTCCCCTCCTCCTCCCGTTCCTCCCCTCTTACTCCTCTTCCTCTTCCTTGTCCCTCTTCTCCTTTTCCCCCTCCTCTTCCAGTTGTTTCCCCCTTTCTCTGAAGGCCAAAATGCCAGACTCTAGGTTGACGCAGGCAGTTCAACTGTCTGCGCTTATCGCACTGGGCCCACTTGACATCTTATTGCGATCTGGGTGGTGCACGCAGGGATGTTTCACGCAGTCGGAAACGGAGGCGTCGTCGTCCCATCGTCGGCCTGCCCCGTGTTCGTTGGTTGTGGCAGGTTCTGATGAGGATGGCCAGCCACACGCCGCAACGCTGGAGACGGACATGACCAGGGATGCCCGAGAAAGTAGGCGTATTCAGTCCTAGACCCAGGGGTGCGCGACAAGGACTTCCACGCTTGTGCACATGTGTCTTGTACGTCCAGTGGTGTGGAGACGTGTGGCAAACCTGTGGTCGTCAGCCGAAGGTTTCGCCAGAGCTCGGTCTCGGCGCGGGGGCCCAGCGTCCACGCGACGCTGTCGTTCTGAGACCTCTTCTCTGGTGTTCGGCCCTCCTCCTCCTCCTCCTCCTCCTCCTCCTCCACCTCCTCCTCCTTATCCTCCTCCTCCTCCTCCTCCTCCTCCTCCTCCTCCTCCTCCTCCTCTTCCAGCGGTGAGAAAAGGGGCGCTGGTCGCCTCCGATAGGGTGCTTCGCGGGCGCGTTTTGATTTCGTTGCCGTGTCCGTGTGCGAACCGTGCAGCCTGGCCCCGGCGGCCCTGGAGGCCAGGATGGGCCTCTCGAGCGAGGTGTCCCACGAGCGCCTGACCGCACGGGGCGGGTGGCTCGCGCTCCGGGGCCGTGGTTGGCATCCGTCCCAGGGAAGCGGGGGCATCCGGCGGGTGGCCACCACTGCGTCGGCCCGGAACGAGGCCAGGCTTTACGTTGACGCAGGCAGTTCGACCGTCTGCGCTCAGCGCAGGGAGCCCGCTTGGTATATTCTGGCGATCTGGGTGTTGCGCACAGGGCACAGGAGGCGTCGTTCGTCACAGCGTCAGCCTGCCGACTGTGTTTGGTTGTGGCAGGTCCCGGTGAGCGTAGCCAGCCACGCGCCGAAACGCTGGGGACGGACAGGACAAGGGGTGCCCGAGAAAGTGGGCATGCATGTTCAGTCCTAGACCAAAGGGTGCGCGACGAGGGCTTCAACGCGAGTGTACATTAGGTCTTGTACCTTCCAGTGATGTGGAGAAGTTTGGCAAACCTCTCTTCCGCTTCCTTTTCCTCATCTTCACCTTCCTCCTCCCCCTCCTCTTCCTCCTCCTCCTCCTCCTCCTCCTCCTACCTCCTCCTAATTCCTACCTCCTGGCTCCTCGCTCAAACATCGCCCGCCGTGCCCCTCCAGGGGTGCGTTCTTGCCCGAATTTCGACGCGGGAGTGTCGACGAACTCCCCCCCCACCTCTCCCCCCGTCGCCCCCCCAGGAGAGAAAAACGCATCGCGTGCATCCTCCCACGACTCCGGCCACGGATCCCTAATCCTCCCTTCTTCCCTCCCCCCCAGACCTCCGACGACCCGACCTTTTTCCATTCGCCGTCCTTTGGGCCTTTCTACATATAGTTTTATCCCGATTTCCAAAACACACAGGGGGCGGGGTCTGACTTGGAGTGGGGATCTGATGTGCGCTGTTTTGGAGGGTTCCGGGGGGTCTGGGCGAGAGGGCTCACGGCCAGATTTTTGGGTGGGTCTGAATTTGCTCGTCAGGGAGGCCTTGTCCCCCCCTCCCTTCTGTTACGGAGTCTGGAGCACCCCGACCCGTGTCTTGACCGCCCTGGGGCGCCCGAGAGGGGACCCCCGACGCCGAGCACGCCGCCGTTCCAGGCGTCGGGGAGGACTTGGTCCGTCCGCCCCCCCCCCCCCCCCGAGGCCCCCTGTTTGCGAGGCCGCTGCAGGGTTCGAGGCTCCGATGGAGGGGCCGCGGCCAAGGTTCGGTGCTCCAACTGAGCACCTCTCCCCGCCCCTCCTCGTTCTTCGATGCTTGAAGGCGGCAGGGGGGGCGCGATCCTGGAAAACTCCTCCTCGCTCCTCTTTCCTCCCTCGTCCATCAGGTGCGATCCTCCTCCTTCTCTTCTTCCTCTTCCTCCTCCTCCTCCTCCTCCTCGTCCTCGTCCTCGTCCTCGGCCTCCTCTTCTTCTCCTCCTCCTCCTCTCTTTTTCCTCCTCCTCCTCCTCCTCCTCCTCCCTCGATTCGTATTTTCTTGGTTGCAACTCAAGCAATCGTCGCAGGCAAAATCCCTCGATGCGACCCCCCTTCAATAATCCTGAAGCTCCTCGACCCTCCTCACGCTGCTCCTCCCCCTCCTCCCTGCATGCCGCTCCCCCCCCGCCTGCGCGGCAGTCTCCTCGGTCGCGGTGTCCAGCTCCATCGGTGGACGATGCCAGTGAAGGTCTGGCTGTGCCTCGTCCAGCCACGCGATCCCCGCTGAGTTCCCCCCCCCATCTTGTCGGGAGGGGCGATCGGCACTCGGCCCGACATGTGCCGAGGGTGGCGGGCGAGGGTTGACACCACGCTAGCGTGCGCCTCCCTCGATCCTTCTTTCCCTCCCTCCTCCTCCTCCTCTTCTCCTCGGCGTCCTCCTCCTCCTCCTCCTCCTCCTCCTCCTCCTCCTCCTCCTCCTCCTCCTCCTCCCCTCTATTGCTCAGTGTCGAAACGCCGAGCAAGAAAGCGTTCCCCCAGGAAAGCGAGGGCCCCGATGGCGGGGGGTCTGGCGGGTGGTGCCCTCCAGCGGGCGGGCGGGGACTGTTCGGGCGTACGCAGCACCAGTAAGAGTCAGGCACGGAAGTTGCACGGTGGATTTTGGTGGACATGTTTTAGGGTGCCTTGGCGCGACCAGGCCCGCCATCATTTGCCATGCGGGCTTCAGAACCTGCTGGGCGCGATGCTCCTGTTGGAGTTGGGCGCCGAATGAATGACGAATGACGGCAA